CAAGGGCTGCCAGACATTCCTAGAGGACCCCAAAGAAAACAGGCTGGCCTCAGTGTGCAGGGCTTGGGGCGAGAAAGAAGGGCCACACCCAAACAGAGACAAGGCGGAGTACAGCCACCTGGAGGTGGGGGCAGTGGTGTGCTGGCTGGGCGAGCCCGGGCCAGAACCCCTGCAGGAGTGCTCACCGCCTCTCCACGACCTTCCCCCCCGCCCCCCCGATGCAAGTCTGCTGTCTGTTCTTAGGTGAAAAAAGTTCTTTCTGTGTGGTTAAACCCCCCATCTGTTGGAGGCTGTCCCACTAATAAAAGGCAGTCACACACGCTCTACTCCCAGAGTCAACTCCCTAGAAGAGTAGCTGCACTCATTCTGCTTCGAAAGGAAAAAGGAATAGGAGCTCTGCACTGGGAATTCTGCCCTGATGAGATGCTGGCCTCAGAGGATAACAAGACCCAGACCCCAGGACCCAGGATGCCCAGCACCTGGGAGGCTGAACTGATTCCAGGTGACCACAGCCTAGCCTTGCTGACAGGCTGCTGGCTGGTCTGGTCACAGGAACACAAGGCAGTGTTCTGGGAAGAAAAGAAAAGGGCTGAGAGTCAAGTTGAATGGGATTAAGCCAGGTCAGAAACAGGACACGGCTTTGCTCAGCTGCTGAGAAAAACTGTCTGATTTGGGATGAATGCCCTGAGTCCCGAGTGTCCTGAGCCTGCCTGTGAGTCTGGATGGGCCCAGACAGCCACGAGTTCTCCAGAGGCCCACTGATGCGAGGGTCCACCTGTGCATGTCTGGCCTGCCGCCCGGTGGCCACACCAACCACCTCCCAAGAGCTTCCCTCTGGAGGCAGGTGTGCGGGCACTGCAGCTGTGCACCTGCCTCCTGCCCCTGCCCCTGTCCCAGCCGAGCACACTTCACCAGCACACTCCTCTACAAGAAGCACTGGGGTGGGAAGAGCTCCTGGTTTCTTGGACACCAGTAGGGGCTGGAGAGGGCCATGGCCAGAGTAGCATTTCTTAGTAACACCTCTGTAAGCCACAGAGGTGGACTCCTGATGAGACTCAGGAAGCCACAGCTGCACTTGGCACTGTTAAGAGTCCTTCTTGCATCTGTGCTGAGACCAAGGGTCTGGACAGGCATGAAGACAGCCATTTTCTGGCTCTGGAAGGCAAAACAAGCTAGTTCTATATGCAGAAACCCTTCTATAGTTTTATCAGTCCTACAACAATCAACTGAATTGCACCTGGCAGAAATGTAGGCTGCCATAAATACTAATGCCTCAAAACATTGTCAAATGTCAGCATCAGACTGTCCTGGGTCTCAGGACAGGCACTGAGACTGCTGCCCTCCAGGGGACAATAAGAAGTCTGTGACAATACAGTACTGGGCCACTAAGAACTATGGAGGGCAGAAGAAGTGGGGGGACCTCTCTTAGCAGGAATTTGAGCAAACCCTGTAGCAAGTGAGAGGCTGCCCACTCAGGAGAGGGGACGCTGCCAGCCAAGAGCAGAGGCGGCTGCGGCCCTGTCTTCCTAGCAGTGGTCCAATGGACTGAGTCCAGGCTGAAAATGCAGCACATTTTAGGAAAAGCAGGGAAAATAGTTTCCATAAAGAAAACAAGTTTAAGCCAGGCACAGAGGCACACAGCTGTAATGCCAGCTACTCAGGAGGCTGAGGCAAAAGGATCTGCACTTCAAGGCCAGCCTGAGTAACTTAATAAGGCTCTGTTTCAAAGTAAAATGAGAAGGGTTGGGATGTAGCTCGTGGTACAGCCCTTGCCAAACATGCAGAGGGCCCTGGATTTGATCCCCAGTACTGGCGGGGTTGGGGGGAGGCTTGAACCTGGGTGCAGTGTTGTGCACCTATCACTCTAGCTAGGGCAGAGGCTTGAGCCTAGGAGTTTAGGGCCAACCTGGGAACACAATGAGCTCCTGCCTTGAAAAAGGCAGGAAAGGCTTGAGAGGGCCCAACACCAAAGCAGCACTGGCTCTTCTGTTGGATGACTTCAGAGCCACTTTAAGAGTTCTTTTATTGGAGGGGGGGAGAGGCAGTACTGGGGATTGAAATCAGGAGCACCAGACCCCTGAGCCAGATCCCTAGCCCTATTTTGTATTTTATTTAGAGATAGGGTCTCACTGAGTTGCTTAGCACCTTGCTGTTACTGAGACTGGCTCTGAACTCTCGATCCTCCTGTCTCAGCCTCCTGAGCAGCTGGGATTACAGGTGTGCACTGCTACCTGGCAAAAGTTCTTTAGAGGCGCTGGAGTTGTAGCTCAGTGGCAGAGCGCTTGCCAAGCAAGTGTGAGGCACTGGGTTCAATTCTCAGCACAACTTGTAAATACATAAAATAAAGGTCCATCAACAACTAAAAAACATTAAAAAAAAAAAAAAGAGTTCTTTAAAGCAGTCCTTTGTAGAACAAACTCTTTTGACACATGAGGAAACATGTGACTCATTCTGAACACTCTCTAGGAATGTCACTTGGACTACCACTGGCCAGTACAGCATATGAGGAGATCCATCGCTGCACCTGCAAACGTGCCGTCAATCTTTGCACCCACTGGAGCTGCACACTGCTGCAGAGGGGCAGTCCAGAGCCCACTCTTGCTAACAGTGCTCGAGGAAAGGCAGAGCCCAGCCAGGAGGATAAGGCAAGGAGACAAAGGGCCCATTCCTGTCCTCTGATGGACAGTCGACCCTTCCAGATTCTAAAGGCTGAAAATGGGCCTTTTAAAGCCCAAATAAAGAATGTTATGAGAGGTGGGAGGGGAAGGAAGGGAGCAGGGGGTTAGTAATGATAGTGGAATGTGATGGACATCATTATCTAAAATGCATGTATGAAGACATTAATTGGTGTGAACATACTTTATATAGAGAAATGAAAAATTGTGTTCTATGTGTGTAATAAGAATTGTGATGCATTCCGCTGTCATATATTTAAAAAATAAAAGCAATTTAAAAAAAAAATCCCTGAATTAAAGAAAACACAACTGTAGTGCATGGACCTTGGAAGGGCTTTGGGGCACTTCCCAATAAGGAGCTACTTTAAGCCCAGCATGGTGGCGCACGCCTGTACTCCCAGTGGCTGGGGAGTTTGGCAGGAGGATTGTGAGTTCAAAGCCAGCCTCAGCAACTGCGAGGATCTAAGCAACTCAGTGAGACCCTGTCTCTAAATAAAATACGAAATATGGCTGGGATGTGAGTGCCCCTGAGTTCAATCCCCAGTTATCCTCCCCCCTCCCCCACCAAAGAAGCTGTTTTGATCCCTTTCCCACATTTTGCCCCATGTCATGGGAGGGTGTTGACACCAGCAAAGCATGGGATGGGATGGGATGATGTCATTATTAAGCTTTTTAGAAGAAGTCTTAGAACTCCAACGTGGAAAGGACAGTATCCTCAAACGGTGCAAGGACAATGCATGTAGGAGAATGAGGCTGAAGCCCTGCCTCACACTATATACAAAATGTACCTTAAAACGGCTCAACAGCTTAAAAATAAAAGCTGCAACTATGAAACTCTTAAGAGGAAAACACCTTGGATCAGGCAATGTCATCTCAGACATGATACCAACAGCACAAGGGTTCAAAATAAAAACAGGTACAAAGGGAACACGTGCTTCTAATGACAATATCAGGACAGCACGATGACTGGCAGAATGGGGACGCGGCTGCCAACGAGAGACTCAGCAAGGGCCTGAATGCAGAATGCAAGAGCTGTTAGAGCAGCAGCACTGAGAGGCCAAACCGCAAGATGGGGAAGGGTGTGGAGAGAGACTTCTCCAGAGAAGCACAAACGGCCAGTGAGCAGGAGACAGCTTGGTGTCTCAGTCCCCAGGGAAACACGCCGTGAGGCAGCAGCACGCGCACACGCGGGGACGGCCAAGGGGCAACAAGACTGCTAGAGAGGGTGGCTGGGCTGCACCTGGAAGACAGTCTGCGGGGCCTCAGGAAGCGACACCATCACCAGGTGACCTTGGGATTCCTCAGTGCACGGCCAAGGAGAACTGAAGTCCACACAACACACAACAGTGTTCACAGTCACAGCAGCCAAAAGGTGTAAGGGTCGAATGTCCACCAACAGTGAATGAATAAAGACAATGTGGCGTGGCCGTGATGCTGATTCAGCTACAAGAAGCGATGAAGGACTGAAACAGAAATGCTTTAACCTGGATGAACCTTGGATATTCTAAAGGAAAGAGGCTAGATGAGAAGACCACCGCCAGGCTCTGCCACCCCACACCACCCCCTGAACACCCACACACACGAGGACGCGGCCTGTGGTGCCAGAGCCAGCAAACAGGGGTGGAGGAGACGGGAGAGCCTGCCAGCGGGTAGGGGAGTTCTTTCTGGGAGACAAGAACGCTCTAAAGTTATTGTAATCAGGACTGCACAACTTTGTGATTATACTAGAAACCACCCAATTGTACGTTTTAACAGGTACACCCACTTTATCACAATAAAGCTGTAGAAAGTGCACACACACAACTTGGCCCAATTCTCTGAGGCCCATCATTCCATCCTAGTACCCACGTGCATTTAGACAAATGCAGGGACGTCCCCCGAGTGCGGGCCGAGACACGGCCCTGCCTCTCAGGCCTTCGCCTGGTCCAGCACAGCATGCACACCCACTCACCAGGTGGCAGGCCATCAGCTTCCTTGCCACACATGAGAACCCGCCGTCTCGGTGGAAAGACGTGTGCCGCTGTCATTCCAGCTGCAGGAGCACCACACTGCCAGCGATAGGTGCCCAGCAAGACTGCTCCCTGTCTAAGCTCGGGGGCCAGAAACTGTCTGGGCTTAGGAGAGGGGTGCAGTATGGAGTGTGCACTACACAACAGCTGCCCACGACCGGCAGCACCTACCCAACAAAGCGCACCTGTTTCTTTGGCAACTGTGCGGGTTGCATGTCAAGGGGGCTGCCTGGCAGCAGCAGCAGCAGCCTCCCACCAGCTCAGGGCAGGCGCTCCCATGCTCAGGACCCCAGCCCCCCAGGACTAGGTGGCCTACCTTGGTGGCTGCGGGGAGCGGGGCTTTGGCTTCTCCTTCTCCTTCTCCCGCTCCTTGTCCCTGTCCCGGTCGCGGTGCTGTCTGTCCTTCTCGTCGCGCTTGGCTCGCTCTCGCTCCCACTCCTCCTTCCTCCGCTGCCGCTCCTTGTCTCGCTCGCGCTCCCGTTCCCGCTCGCGCTCCCTCTGCCGACGCTCGCGCTCTCGGTCACGCTCCCGTTCGCGCTCTCGCTCTCGCTGTCTGTTCTCTCGCTCACGTTCCCTTTCCCTTTCCTTCGTTAAAAAGCCAAACACACATGCTGTCAGTAGGATGCCTGATGGACGGGCAGAGGGAGGGAGGGAGCAGGGGCTGGCGTGTGGACCGCCCAAGTCATGGTGTTCCCAGGGTTCTCCTCAGAACGCGTTAAGATATAGGCAGGTGCCAATCAGAGGCACACAAGATCCGAGAGTGAGGTTGCCCTGACCGCCACTTCCAAACCTGTCACCAGTCTGGCACGAGCTGTGCACAGCTGGCACTCCTGCACATGACCCAGAGGACATGGCCTCTGGACACGGCTCCTTCCTCTGAGGATGGAGCTTGCACAGCTGCCCAGGCCAGCAGGTGCGAGGAGGGGCTCCCCTGGGTGGTGCCTGGAAGAGTGGCACCCTCTACACAACCCTTGGTGCAGACCTGTGCATCCCCTCTGACATTCAGTGTCAAAACAGAATGACGTCCGAGCCCAGCACACCTGACAGATTCTGGGCATTTCTCCAGGGACACGCTGTGTACACCGTGGCCTTCCTGCTGCCCCCACCCCCCAGCAGAGGAGGATCATAGTGGCTGCCCTGGGTAGGGACAGTATACCAGGAGCCTGCAGCCCAACGCCAGGAGGAAGCTGCTCGGTAGAGCAGGTGGGCACCAGAGGGTCAGCCAGGGGTTTTCTGGACTACAGGGTCCTCTGACCATCTGCTGAGCTCCTGGGGCCATGGCCACTTCCCTCTGGTCCTAAGAACTCCTGGCTCTGTCCTGAGTCACAACATAAAACCTGCCAAACTGCTTTTGAGGGATCTTTCCTGGAATAGCCTTTCCATGTCCCTCCAAGAGCAGAGACCTGGGCTCACAGTCCTGAGCACACAGTCCACAGACACTGAGCTCTCAGAGCCAGAGTGACTCAGGAGGAAGCACCAACGCAGACGACCCTCTGCCACACCAAGAAGGCAGAGTGGTCAGAGACGGGTCCTCAGCCCGTGGACTACAGGTGAGTAATATGGCTAAGGAGACTCTCAGAGGAAGAGCTAGGGACGGCCAGAGTCCCTTGAAAACTGGCATCAATGACCTCATGAGCAGTCTGACTTTACAAACCACGGCAAGAACAAAGTCCGGGGAAGCCCCTGTTCAGGTTACAAGCATTCCCAGGGTACCCAAATCAGTCCTCCAGAAACCACCAGTATGGGCTTGAATTTAACCCTTTGGGTTCAATCAGCACTCTGTGCTGACAGAATAAGCTCATGTGAAAGTCCATAAATGAAAAGGGTGATTCTGGCCAGGTGCAGTGGTGCATACCTTCAATCCTAGTGACTCTGGAGGCTGAGGTTGGCAAGTCTAAGGCCAGCCTGGGCTACTTAGATTCCTTTTCAAAGGCGGGAGGTGGTGGTGGTTTTAATGGGTAAATCAGTGACATTCACATCTACACATCTGAGTCATACTTACTCGGTAATTATGGTACGGCTCTGTTTCTGTATATTGTACCCTGAAATTCTCGTATTGTCCACCACGCCAAAAGCGCTCTATTTCATAGTCATAGTAAGGGTCCGCATAAGGCTCAAGTCTGAAAAGAGAGCCAGTAAGAAGCAAATCTTATCACTTAGGAATACTAGAGGCAAACACGCTACATGAAATACAAGCAAGGAAGACCCAGCACCACGTTACGGAAACAACACACCATGACGGTATGGGACTTGGGCCAGGAAAGCAGGGCTGAGTCAGTACTAGGAAATCTGTAATGTGTGGTTACATCTAACAGCAGACCCGAAGAGAAAAAGCACAGAATCATGTTCACAGATTTCGGAAGCACATCCAACAAACACTCAATACCCATTCCTACTGAAAGCACTCAAGAGAATGGAAACCCACACTCTCCCAACAAGACGAACAGAGGACCCTGGAGACCGCATAGCACGAGCTCGCTCTGTAAGGTACGTGCAGACTCAACAACCCAGAGAGCTGATGAACAAGGACCCTGGTGAGGACTAGTTAAGAGACAGTGTGAGAAATTCATTCACAACACCAAGGAAGAAGAAAATCACACAGGAACAAGAGAGTGTCAAGCCAGAAATGGCAGGTTTATCCTGAAAAATAAAAAGAACAGGTGAACAAATGAGAAGCCTTGGGCAGCCAGCTCTTCCTGCACTGCTCATAAGCATAAGCCCATTCCAGAGAACACAGCGACCTTATTCATGAGGCTGCACAAGCAGATGCCCAGGTCACAGGGGAAGACATACCTACAAGCCAAGCCAATAAACCCCGCAAAAGTGCAGACACCCTCTGAGACACCACAACATCCTAAAGAGCCCCCGCCGTTCATGTCATCCTGTGCATGAAAACAAACAACTGATGGGGGAAGCTGGGAGCCCAGAGACAGACCCAAGGACACAGGCCGGGGTGGCTCCTCACTGAATGAGGCACCTGACCACCCCCTGGGGAGACCTGACTAGAGCCCAGCACCTGGGCTTTGCACCAGCCACACCAGCTGGAGGATGGCAGAGAGTACATGTGGCTCACATGGGTCCCAGACACCTCCAGGGCAGCGACTGCTCTCTAGGAGCTCCCCTCCAAGATCGAAAGGGCTTTGGCAGAGATGAAACCCCAAGGCTCTTGCAGACAATGCCTGCATTTTTCATTCCTGCAGAGCTCAGTACTCGGTGGGTCTGTGATGGTGCGCGGGTGCTGCAGACATGCAGGGGCAAGCAAACACCCTGAAGTGGGCCTAGACAAGAGAAAGCCAAAGGCCCCCAACACCATCAAATCTCAGGGCTATGTGTTCTCTGACACCAGGGCTCTGCCAGCATATCTGTTTTGGGAACATCATTTAAGCTAAATGGAAAGGCCTCTTTCTTGCAGAGTTTCCCTGGGACACAAGATGAGCCAGACAAAGACAGCTAACAGAATGGAATGCACACACTTCCTCAGCCTGGCTCGAGGTGGGCACCCATCAACATGCTGCTGTTAAGTTTGAGCTTGCTCACAACAGACTTCTCAGGCACTGTTTTGAAAAACACTGAGAAACATCTGTAATGAACCTGGAGGATGTTTGCTCAATTCATTGATGTAAAAACAAGTTCCACTAAAGAGTATCATGGTCTCCACAATCATTTCCCAAATTGTGTTTTGGGAAACCTGAGCTGTCAATGGCCCTCGCCCAAGGGTAGGCAAGGTTGGGCTCCCTGGCTGCATCTGGCAGAGGGGATCGTGTACTCCTGGTCTGTAGAGTCTCTGATTAATCAGCGGGCACTGCAGGGTCCTGCACATGCTCTGGTAGATGGCAGAGACGCTCTGCATGACAGGTCTTCTGTGGGCCTGGAGCTCTATGTTCACTACATCAGCAGGGCCCATGGGGCGAAACTGTCCCTCTCTGTAGAGGAGGAGGTTTCTGTCTACAGTCCACCCAGGAAGTGGCATGATAAGGTGCAAAGTGAAGCTGCTAGAGAATATGTAAGAATTGAAGTTGGGAGCTAGAAGTTTAGAGTTCAACCCCCTCACTTCAAAGACAAGGAAACCCAGGCTCAGAAAATAATACTAAAGATTCTAAAACATGCACCTCTGCTTTTTATCCCAAGTTATAAAGTATCTCTCAAAGAAACAGTCTTGCAGGGATAGCATCTGTGCCACCCTCTACATGCTGCAGCAGAGTGGCCTTCCCCACTGGCCAAGGAGGGCCCCTCAGCTAAGCCAGGCGAAGGGAAACTTGCTGGGTCCACTTGGAGCAACCAGGTGCCAATGGTTCCCTCCTCCCTGTCCAGCTTCACTGTCCACAGGTCAGCTGGCACCCTCTCAGAGGCCAGGGTCTCACTCCTTCTGAACTTCCTCTTAACCTCTCAGTTCTAGCAGTTTCAACTGGCACTGGCTCACTCCCTCCATGGTACCCAGTCTTTGCTCCTGGTTTTGCAGCCAAACGGTGAACACTTCCTTCCACTGGCCACTCTTTGTTACAGGAAGTGGGTGATCTATGTCTGGCTGAGACTCTGACTGGCAGTCTTCCCCCAACATCTACAACAAACACTGGGGTGCTTTTGCAGAGATCCTGACTCATCCAGTCTGGAAGGGGTCAGGCACAAAGCCCCCACATCCACTCTGAGCACAGAGAATGTTAAAAAACACAGGAACACAACGCAGTCAAAAGCCTGCTCTCAGCACTGCCCGTAGCCTCAGCCCCACCTGCATAGCTTAAGCAGCTGAGGGCTGCTCCTGCACCACACGCAGGGCAGGACTGGAACTACAGGCTTCTGCACCAAGGCCAGGGCACTCTGTGAAGTCTGTCATCAAACTTGGCACTGAACCACCTCCAAGCAGACACACCTCACAGCTCCCCATTCCAGCCAGGGGAACGGGAAACAGGGTGTAAAAACTGCCCTTCTTTCCCTCCTATAAACAAGCACATGAATTCAGAGTATTCTGTACTTCCTGAAGTCATACCACCTCCTGAACGCTCACCAATACTCCAGGTGTGAATGACAATACCATCGTGCACACCTTGCTCAAGAAGAGGCTCCTGAGCGTCAGCCCCCTGCCCACGGTGACCCTGCAGACATCTGGGCCACACTCAGTTCTGATTTAAACATCCTTTTGCCATCTGCCAACGTCCATGTGCAGAACTTCACTAGAAGGATGTGCAAGTGTTCCCGTCCACAGGGAATCCTCTCAGCATGTCCTGCAAGCAGACTCAACTCTACAGATGGTTCCCTTCGTGCCTGTGATGAAGTCTATAGGCATTGTGAGAGGCTGACGTAATAACGTAGACTATGACGATATGGGATGACCCGAGTTACTTAAATTGCTCATCTCTGGAATTTTCCAGCTGAATTTTTGACCACCAGCAACAAACGGCATAATGCAAGTTGTGAGTAAGGGGCTCTGTGCCTGTGGTCTCTACCCTGGGTCCTGAGCACAGGCCCCACTGGCAGGACTGGCACCACACAGTGTGCGCCTGCCTGCCAACTTTGCAACATGAGCACTGCCCCAAGACCCAGGTAGAGACAAGTCAGTGGGACCGCTGGGTGAGATGGAGGTCAGTTCCCAGGACCCGTGCCCTAACCTCACTGCTCTGCCAGCAGAAACCTCGCCCGTTTCTGTTCTGTGAGGGTAAAGCACCATCCCTAGGGCAGAAGTGGGCAGGGGAGGCAGCACTTTCCAGGCCGCGTGATGCCTCAGAATCCGACTCATTCAATTCCGCGTACTTTCTCCATCACGACTTTTAAACGCCAGCACTAAAGGTTTGGAGGGCAGCAATAGCACAGTATGGACAGTGAGAGGGCCACAATGGCCACGCCCTTGGACTGCTGTGGTGGACGGTGCACATTCCCTGGCTCCTGGTGACCAGCAGAGTGAGGAGAGAGACACACCTAGGGGCTCCCTTGACAGCTGCAGCCACCACAGGGCCCACAGGTAGAGCTGGGACACCACCAGAGGCCAGCAAACAAGGGGAAGCGACTGCAGAGGGAGTCTGAATTAGCTCAGGGGTGGCATTTCCACGCCTTCAAGGATGGGTGGCACCAATGCCAAGGTGCCTTGAGACTCACATGTGGCCACTCTCACCAGAGCACTGGGGGGGGGGGGGGCACTTGACCCTCCCCCTTTGTGCTGGGGAACAAACTCTGGCTTCTGTTTGCTAGGCAATTGCTTTCCACCAAGCTCTCCCACCCCCGATCTTCTGTAAGAGGAGGAAGAGCAGTCCTTACGTTGTATCTCTGACATCTCTCGGGACCCGAGAATTCCAATCTCGGAAAACTTCATTTTCTTTGTCAAACTCGCGTTCATCTTCACCAATGGTCACTGTGAACCTTTTCTCTTCAAAATCAGGTTCCTGTTCTTTTCGAATGGTTGCTTTTTTTAAAACCTACCATTGGAGGAAGAAAGAAGTCACACTCAGTCACCGTGAGGGACGCAGGGAAAAGGTCTGCTGAGGCCGATGGCAAGGGGCAGGCACAGGACCCCCAGCACCAGCACCTCTTGGGAGGGGCATGAAAGCGATGCTGTGGCTCATGTAAGTGCAAGTGAGGCACAATGGAGCTTGTCACTTCCTGTGAACAGTGGAGGGACAGGACCAAGGTCCTTTGGTAATGAGGACCGACCGAGTGTGGTGAGTATGCACAAGTGTGTATACTCAGAGGGCGTGTGAAAGGAGGGGCTCTGTCTTCCTCTCCCTGGAGAATGACCAGAGCACTAAGCAGGAGCCACACTGGGCAGTGACGGGAGCCCCAGCGGAGCAGGTGCTGGGCCTCAGGCGGGTGGGGGGTGGGTCCTGGGCAGTGGGCCCCATGGAGTGGCTGGAGTCAGCCCTCTGTCTGCTAGGCTGCCCCAACCACCTAAAGATGGCATGTCTGTGTTCTGGGCTTGACCTCCCTGGCCTCCTGGGGTGTGCGTGTGACCTGGGCCAACTCACAGAGACAGACATCATTTCCATTCTTTAACTCTCACAAGAACCACAGCAATACCCCACAGCTTTCAAAGCTCTGACTAGGTTTTGGTGCAAGGCAAGCCCACCATGGAGCCTCCTCAGGGCCGCATGGACCGTTACCTCCTTGGCATGCCGGAGTCCTCGCTCCCAGGCACTCTCTGTTGGAGGTTCTGGAGGGGGTGGAGGCAAGATCTCATCGACCACTGGCCCACCCTGTTAAAAAAACGAAAGTGGAAAAGTTGATAAGGCAAGCAAAACTTTAAAATCGAAAGGAAACAAAGCAAAACATCAACTAAAACACAAGCTCGCTGCACATGAATGACTCTCCCGCCCAAGCCTAAAGCGTCCCCCAAAACATCCAGGGCCACTCTGCACAGAAGCATCCAAAAGGGCCACTCTATGCCTCTCCTCAGCCAGAAGATGCCTTGTCCACGAGGCATATACTAATTTGTCTTAAGCCCGAGATTCAGACAGTACCCAGATGTTCAATATGCTAGCAATTAAAGAAGAAGAGGTGTTCACGCACCCAAGGGTTGGCAGGCATCAGTGGGTGAGGTCCAAGAGGCGGGGCACCATTAGGTGGGAAAGGGTCAGCTTTGGTGATGAGGGAGTAGTTCCCTTTGTCGTTCACTCCGGGGTGTATGAACCTACAATTCATTCCCCAGGTACAATTTCCTGGGGAAACAAAAATCAGGTCAGTAAGGATGCCAGTAGCCTAACTGTACGGGCAGTGACTGGGATGAACAGCAGCAGCATGTACTAAAGACCCGGAATGTTCTATATGGCCAGCAAGTGCTCCAGCGGTCCCTGGATGAGGAGATGGATGTGCTGAGCCTGGAGACACCCAGAGCCAGTGGCTGCAGTCAGGGTTGCCTGGCCTTCCTGCCCCTCCACAAGGCTAGCAGCCTCTTGCACACGAGAGCGCCACAGCAGACAGGTTGAGCCACCTGGGCCCTGGCTCAGCTGAGAGCTTCTGAGACAGCACTCCCTAGAGGAGGAGCTCCTGGTGGGCACAGGGATCCCCAGGCCCTGTTTCAAAGTCACTTTGTGAGGCGTGCATGCAGTTAGCCTCCACATCTGCAATACGATTCTCCAAATGTAGACTGAAATTATTCCCTGCATCATTACTAAACCTTTACAGACTTTTCTTGTCATTACTCCCTAAACAATACAGTATAACAACTGTTTCCACAGCACTTACAGTGTGTTGGGCACTACCACTGATCTAGAGATGACTGAGTCTATGGAAAGGCGTGTGCAGGCTCTCTGTGAGTGCTATGCCATGTCACACCAGGACTTGAGCACCTGAGATGTCGGCATCTGTGGGGATCCTGGAGCCAACTGGCTGTGGATACTAAGGACAGTTGTGTATATCAATGAGCATTAATTAAAACAGAAAATTCCCAGAGCTCTGCAGACCCAAGGTTCAGTGCAGAGACATGCTGCAGCCTCCAGGCAGCCTCTTCAGGCACAGAGAACATTCACACTGAAGTAGAAATCGATGGGAAGCACTGACAATTACCAGAGTTCTGCAGGTCTATCCCAGGGTGATCTTCACCATCTCCAAATATTTGTACTTCCTTATCAAAATTCTCAGAACCACTCTGGGATATTTCTGGGACTTAAAAATGTGTGATAAATTAAAGACACAGCGATGATTATAATAAAACTAGGCTTTTATACTTTGCTCACAAAGAATCAAAACTGATTTTCAGCAACAGAAAACCAGGATCATTAAGGGAAACCAATAAACTTTTCAGCACAAAATGTATAATGCCTTATCAGTGACTGAACTGCTTTTTAAAAATTTATTTTTTTAACAGAATATACAACAGGTTCAAAAGCAAACATGGCTTATAGCATCTACATAGTTTTACAAAACATTTTCAGTGGGTAATATGTAGCTAGATTTTAAGTAATTTAAAAATATATGTTCAATCCAAAACAATGATATTCTGTTTGAATATTTCTGTCAACAAATCACGTTTTCTCTTCTATAATTAAATAGAAACAGTCATTAGGTATTTAGGAAAAACCAAACTTTACTTTTAAGCATTATGAATAAAGCTTGCATTAAAACCAACTCAATATAACATAATAGCATTTGGTCTAAATTAAACATGAAATAAAGTATACTTAAAAAATTGCTTCTCTGGAAATTAAAAAAAAATGACAAAATGACTTTTTTAAATTTCTAAAAATATTTAAGAGAACACATGTAAGTCAAAAGCAGCTGGAAACACTCTTCTGTGGGGTTGGGGTCCCCAGGCCTCAGAGGGCTCAGAAGCAAGACTGCAATCAGGCATGGAAGAGATCACAAGCACCATCCACTTCACAATCCAACCCACAACATCCATGCCGCAGTTAATGTTGTTTGTTATTAAAATACAACAAAAGCTTACCGTAGAAAATTTTCAAGTAGAGAAAAGTATTAACAACATAAATCACACTTTTCTGCAATTTCCTTATCATATATATCTGGGTGGTAAATGAGCAGATATTTGCTATTTTTCGAAATTCACAAATTTTCAAGACAAAAACCAAAGCACCACCCATAGGCCCACTACCAAAAGACACCCCAGGGCACGCATGTAGCAGGAGAAACAAGGAACAGGTGCGCCAGAGGAGGCCACGGAGCATGAGGAGGAAGGTGAGAGGGGGCCCAGGCATTCTGCCAGATGCAGTGACAACGCCCAGCTCCCCGGGCCGCCTATTACTGGCTACTAAGCCAGCACCCTGCTGAGAAGGGTCCTGAGCCCTGGCCACCCAAGCAAAGAGGAAGAGGGCTTCAGGAAGGAGGAGAGCTGTCTAGCAAAGGGCAGACACAGAACAAGAGTGCCTAAGCCCAGCACCAAACCACTGGGACTGAGGGGAGGGGAAACTTGACACCCCATCAGTACATTACTGTCATCATTTTAAAAGAATTTGTTTAAAAAAGGCAATGGAGGGCCAGGGTTGTGGCTCAGCGGTAGAGTGCTTGCCTTGCATGTGTGGGGCACTGGGTTTGATCCAGCATCACATAAAAATAAAGTAGAGGTATTTGTCTATCTACAACTTAAAAAAAAGTCAACAGAAGCAAAAATGCAAATGTTTTAGAACTGCGAGGTCTTCTGCTTGTTGTTTTGGTATGCTTTTGTGGTCTGGAGATTGACCCCAGGGATGCTCTACCACTGAGCTGTACCCAAGCCCTTTTTATTTTTTATTTTGAGGCAGGATGGCCTCAAACTTGCCATCCTCCTGTCTTAGCCTCCAGAGCTGCTGGCATCGCAGACCGCGCTGCCTCACTCAGCTGGTCGTCTGCTTTTATGGAATTTCACAAACACAAAACCTGGGTGAACTGCAATTCTGAGTGCATAAACAAACACTCACTCTTCCCGTGCTAGAACTCTGCAAGTGGAAATGGAGACGAGCCAGAGCTGTCAAGACGGCCCGGCAGTTCCTTCACCCCTGCACATCTAAGTGCCACCCTCAGCACATGGGGCTTCCCAGGAAAAGAGTATTCTTTTCTTAACTGGAGGGTGGGCACCTCGGCAATTCTACCCTTTTAAAAATTCAGCTTTATGCCCCTATAGACACTGTATATTTTATATACATGTTTCATGATAGAACAACTAGACATAGAAATGCATGTAAATAAAAAGTATCCACAACTCTAAAAGGCAGCCCGTGAAGAATCCTTCCTACTCCAGGCCTCCAGGGTCCTGTGCCAAAAGCAGTTGTTAACTTATTGGGACCAATGAACCTCTAATGAGACACTTGCCAGTTTCCCTTGTGTATACTGTATTACTCTGTGTTGCTTTTTGTCACTGAACAATATAGCTACAAAAAAGGAACCCACGGCCTTAATAGAAACAGACCCAAACTGTGTCAGTGAAACAGATACAACCCATGTACAGGAAACTGCTGCACCTCTGGCCTGGCAGTTGCTGTCCACAATCCCACGTCCAACAACCGGGGATCCCTCTTTCCTAGTGTGAGGACACCAGGAGCAGCATGCACAGTGTCTGTGGTGTGCAACTGCATGAGTGCTCATGTGTGTTGGGTCCACAAACTACCAGAATTTTAATTTTTGATTTGTTGAACAGCCAACCAATCCCATCCCTCAGACACACCATCCCCACATTTGCAAAGGTACTGCTAGAACAGCTGAGGTAATTTTACAGTGTTTCTATTTCCCACACAAAGTACTTGCTTTATACCCTAACTGTAAACAAAGCCTTCTGACACAGTGATTGTATTTGAATTTCCCTCAGTCCCTTCTTTCCTGTTAGCCTGCATAATTCCAAGCAGGTAATAAACAGAGGTTGTCTAGGTAAAGAACAGATTAAAGTGCTTCAGTGGTTTTTCAAAAACACTTCACAAAAGGAAGTCAGAATATAAAACAAAACAAAACAAAACAAAACAAAAAAAAACAGTAACTAAGCTTAAGACAAACCAAAGAGCTCCGAATCTGCATGTTGACAGGCCCGAAACCCAGTGAACCTCTGCACACTGCGGGCACCACACAAGGACTCCTAGGTCATATCCCTCCTCAGCTCACAACAGCAGAGAACAGCACACCTTCTCAGCTGCTTCTTTAAGGAACACAGACTTGAGACTAGCAGTTTTCTTAACCTTTTTTTCCCAGCACCCTAGGTGGCCTGTTTATGGGGGTCATTTCTAGTGATATTTTCTGTATCCAAGCTAAATGAGAAACCTCAAAGATATTTCATGAATCTACTTAAAAATAAATCAAATGTCTGAAAACATAGATATTCCATGAAAACATTCCTTGACTACTTGACAGGAGGCGTGGCATGAGGTCTCCTCTGGCAGCTTCGTCCTGCTGACAGCAGCAGGATGCTCCATCTGCTTCTGTGCTCCAGGGTGGTGCAACTGCAGAGAGGTGCTCACAGCCCCCCAGACACTCTTGCTGCTGTCCCCACAGTCCTTCAGACGAGTGCTGTGCAGTGGGACCCCAGCTCTCATGAAGTTCTTGGTCTGTCTGCAACTCTGAGCGCACCTCTTCCCTGGCATGACTCTGCAGCACCACCCAGTGGTCAGGTGGAGAATTCGCTACACAATGGGAAGCAGATGCAGTCGGTGGCAGATTCCAATTTTCCAAAGTCTCGTTTTTATTTGAGAGTGCAGGTTTTAACACTGTTTGCAAATTGCCATTGTTCTATTTGAAGTGAGGGGCCCACATTCTTCCTGCCAAGGGCCTAGGCCCACAATGCTATGGTACATCTGTCTGTCATTTTTTCCAGGCACCATTCCATCACCTGTCACTCAAACCTCCAAAGCACTGTCCCTTAAGATCCTCAAGTCCCTCTCAAGAGGCTTGGGTGTGGGGCGAGGGCTCCGTGCAAAAGGCCATCCCATTGTGCTGAGATGAACACTAAGGGATCTTTCACCATGGTGCAAAAGCTCTAAACTGGATTGTGGTGATTGCTGAATAACTTGGCAAATTCAGTAAAAATCAATTAAAAACTGTACATTTTAAATGTGTGACTTCTGTGGCACGTAAGCTGTACCTCTATGTTTCTCTTTATAT